CTTTATGAAGATTCCATTCGCTTTTGCCAGCTCCTTTAAAGCCTGCGCTTAATTTATTGATCAGTGAGGCTTTGAGAGACATCTGCTGCCCTTTTTCCTCTGCATTAACTTTAAAGCACATTTATAAAGTGAGTATTTATTCTTAGAATTTTAACAATACTCTAACAAACACAACCCCAAGAGTATTAACTAAGTTCTCTGTGAAGGAGAAAGATCAAGAGGAACAAAGACAATTACAATGTGTCTGAGGAACCATTCTATTCTGTTTTGCTGTCAGAACAGTCAGACCATTCTATTCTGTTTTGCTGTCAGAACAGTCAGACCATTCTATTCTGTTTTGCTGTCAGAACAGTCAGACCATTCTATTCTGTTTTGCTGTCAGAACAGTCAGACCATTCTATTCTGTTTTGCTGTCAGAACAGTCAGACCATTCTATTCTGTTTTGCTGTCAGAACAGTCAGACCATTCTATTCTGTTTTGCTGTCGGAACAGTCAGACCATTCTATTCTGTTTTGCTGTCAGAACAGTCAGACCATTCTATTCTGTTTTGCTGTCAGAACAGTCAGACCATTCTATTCTGTTTTGCTGTCGGAACAGTCAGACCATTCTATTCTGTTTTGCTGTCGGAACAGTCAGACCATTCTATTCTGTTTTGCTGTCAGAACAGTCAGACCATTCTATTCTGTTTTGGTGTCGGAACAGTCAGACCATTCTATTCTGTTTTGGTGTCAGAACAGTCAGACCATTCTATTCTGTTTTGGTGTCAGAACAGTCAGACCATTCTATTCTGTTTTGCTGTCAGAACAGTCAGACCATTCTATTCTGTTTTGCTGTCGGAACAGTGAGAACTTTTTTTTCATATTTCTCTTTTTGTTTTGAAGATTCTAGGGGGCAATTTACTTCCCCCTCTTCTTCTATACTCTGCAACCACTGAGAAGGCTTTAGTCTATTAGTAATTGCGAAGCCCCACTTTGGGGCTAATTAGAGTGCTGTAGCTGGCTGGGACGGTCTGGTTCCCCAGAGTTCAGGCACTGGATGAGAAAGAAAGGTTATTTGTCTGTCCTGAACAAAGTGATTAGGGTGAAGCCGGGAAGCTACTTAATAAATGAGCATCAAATGTCCTGCGCTGCCGCCGACACCGCCGTGTAGCAGCAGCCGACACAGACAACAACAATTATGTCACCGTGAAATCACACAATGTTTTGTGCTGTTGAGACTGCTGAAAGAGTTACAACCACTCTGTGATTACTATAGTTCTGTTCTGTTCTGTTCTATAGTCCCCGTGTAGCTCAGTTGGCAGAGCATGGCGCTTGCAACGCCAGGGTTGTGGGTTCATTTCCCATGCGGGGGGGGCAGTATGAGAATGTATGCACTCACTAACTGTAAGTTGCTCTGGATAAGAGCATCTGCTAAATGACAAAACATTTAAAAATGTAAGAGGAGGAGGATGGCTGCACACTATTAGGGGACCTTGCTATACTCCTGAGTGCATCTCGGATCCATCCCTAATACTAGAAAATAATCCACATCCAATAATGTGCCCCCTCAGCAAGATCATTTTAAGCGTGCACGCGCGTGTGTGTGTGTGTGTGTGCGTGTTTAATAATTCTCTCTATCGCTCCTATAATTAAAGCACCGGAGCCAATATTCAGATTGCATTTTAGCATTAATAATTCAGCTGGTTTCACTGCAATTGATGTTGGTGCATCAATAAACAATGAGTCCTCATATTTACTGCAGCCTGCGTGGTGAGAGAGACATGGTGGTGGAAGGGGTGAGCGTGAGGCTTAAACAGACATTTAAAATTAAGCCAGATAATGCAAAGGCTTTCAATTTGAATGTGAGCTGCTCTTAGTGCTGATTTGTAAAAGTGACGAGGCCCTAAAAGGCCTCATGATGGAGGGAGGGAGCAGAGGAGAGGAGAGGAGAGGAGAGGAGAGGAGAGGAGAGGAGAGGAGAGGAGAGGAGAGGAGAGGAGAGGAGAGGAGAGGAGAGGAGAGGAGAGGAGAGGAGAGGAGAGGAGAGGAGAGGAGAGGAGAGGAGAGGAGGGCTTAATGGAGTTCTCTCTCTCTCCCTGGCAGCTCCACTCAAGGTGAAATGCTCCTAGTCCCAACAATATCACTCCTCTCTTTCAGTAAGACTCAGATGTTCTCAGAGCACAGCTCCTCCCCCTACTGAACACACACACACACACACACACACACACACACACACACAGGCACTCGCACAAGGACGAACAAAGGGACGCACGCACTCAACTCACGCAACGGGCGGACCCACCCACCCACACACACACACACACACACACACACACACACACACACACACACACACACACACACACACACACACACACACACACACACACACACACACACACACACACAATGTCCTCTCATACAGCCAGATGAAGCACTAACAAAGCTGTATTATGACCCAACGATATGATCACCTACTGGCATGGCAGACAGAGAGAGGGAATAAACTAATGTTATACTAATGTTATTATATAACATTAAACTAATGTTATTATGTTTGTGGTGCAGTAAAGTAAATGAATGGTCTGACAAGCTGGAGGGGAGATAAAATCCTGAACCAGGACAAGCCCAAAATAGCAGAACTAATAGCTGGCACTTTTGTAGCATTTCTATGACTACCCTGTTCATAATGCATTAGAAGTTAATTTATAACGCTGTGTTGTGTGTTATAGTACATTATGAAGTCACGATTATTCATACAGAATGTTACCCGAACTTTTTCCTCATCATGCACAAACAGCATCAGATTTGTGCTATGGTATAATTCTCTATAACTTCTTATAAGCATGTGTGAACCTTTATCATTTCTTATAATGGGGCTTTTCCTCATCAACAAACAGCATGAGATCTGTGATGAACCCGTGGGCCATGCCGTCACATCTCAGACCTGGTACTGGACATAATAAATCAATGCAGGCCGACTGCCACTCATCATGACGGAAAATAACAAAGACAAAAAAAATAAGGAAAAATCTATCGCCCCATCCAAAATTTAAATTAATCTTTGGTCAATAACATGTAATATCTATTTCAGCGCTGCTATCAGCAAAGGAGTAAATGAATCAATGTTGTCAATACATAATCATAAGTATGAAAAATGTTGTGAGAGAAATGAGAGATGTTTTTTTTTTTTTTTTTCTATAGTTGCCTCAGCCACACCCCTTGCTTACTGATGTCAGGCTGGCATAGAATGTCATAGTATTTTAAGGGGATTGATCGTCACTGTAACAAATTCACTCCCGATTGAATGACATTGCACTTTTCCTTGTCTGGCCCTATCGCCTATGTGGCTACAGTAAGTAACTAGCAGAGCCACGTTTTTTTTTTTTTTTTTTTTTTGATGTTGCTGTTCTTTCATTTGAATGTTTTCTAATATTATCTTTATTTCTTGCCTCGGCTTTAAAGAGTAAATCTAAAGGGGCTGAGTTTTATTTTGTTTCACAAAACAAAGATTAAGAAGGTTCCAACTAGCTAGTTGTCATTCATTAGCTGACAGACAGAGGGTTCTGTTAGATAGGTTTCAAGCCTGACGAAGACCTTCAGGTCAAAACGTTGCACTCAAATAAACTGTGAGAACATTCCATCTTTCTCTCAGGTTTCAGGAGTGACAGGTGGCACCCCAGTTTGAGAACAACTGGCCAACAACCTCCAGTGCTCAAGCTACAAACACAGTTGTTTATTAGCTAGGGCAGGGAATTACCAGGGACCTCACCATACCATATTATCAGCATACTGAGGGACCTCACCATACCATATTATCACCACACTGAGGGACCTCACCATACCATATTATCACCACACTGAGGGACCTCACCATACCATATTATCACCATACTGAGGGACCTCATGATACCATATTATCACCATACTGAGGGACCTCACCATACCATATTATCACCACACTGAGGGACCTCACCATACCATATTATCACCATACTGAGGGACCTCACCATACCATATTATCACCACACTGAGGGACCTCACCATACCATATTATCACCATACTGAGGGACCTCACCATACCATATTATCACCACACTGAGGGACCTCACCATACCATATTATCACCATACTGAGGGACCTCACCATACCATATTATCACCACACTGAGGGACCTCACCATACCATATTATCACCATACTGAGGGACCTCACCATATTATCAACATACTGAGGGACCTCACCATACCATATTATCACCATACTGAGGGACCTCACCATACCATATTATCACCATACTGAGGGACCTCACCATACCATATTATCACCACACTGAGGGACCTCACCATACCATATTATCACCATACTGAGGGACCTCACCATACCATATTATCACCATACTGAGGGACCTCACCATACCATATTATCACCATACCGAGGGACCTCACCATACCATATTATCACCACACTGAGGGACCTCACCATACCATATTATCACCATACTGAGGGACCTCACCATACCATATTATCACCATACTGAGGGACCTCACCATACCATATTATCACCATACTGAGGGACCTCACCATACCATATTATCACCATACTGAGGGACCTCACCATACCATATTATCACCATACTGAGGGACCTCACCATACCATATTATCACCATACTTAGGTGCTGATACCGTATGTATTGCGATTCTCACGATTCTTATGATTCTATATGTATTGTGATTCGCTACTGTGATTTTATTGTTATTCGATGTTCCAAACATATTGCTCACCATGTCTGCTGCAGAGAAATAAGAGAGAGCCATGAGAAAAACTAGTTTTGATCAGTCATGTAAATTAAAGTGCTGAAAACATGTTGGCTCCCTATTTAAAAACAAGATGGACGACACACTATGAAGGACAAATAGCAGAGTTTTGGTGCTCAAGCATAATATAGCAATATTGTCAAAAATACTATCCTGATACATAACTGTATAGATCGCTATTATTAGCAGACAAAATGGACTAGGTTAGGTATGTAGGTTTCCAGAGCGATAGTGTGTACATACCTTCTGGTCGGGCAGTAGTGGGTTTGTCTGCAGTGAACTCAAATGTCCATTGATGAGTGCTGTGGGTCTGTCGTGTTCACAGAACAGACTGCCGTTGATGTAGTGGAACCTGTCCCCTGGGACCAGCCGGTTCCGGCAGGTAGAACACGTGAAACACTATGGGGGAACAGAGAGAGAGAGAGAACATGAATATACTGTGTGTGTGTGGGGGGGAGAAACTGTGGGGGGGGAGAGAAAAAGAGAGAGAGAATGTTAAACAGTGTGGGGGAGAGAGAGAGAGAGAGAGAGAGAGAGAGAGAGAGAGAGAGAGAGAGAGAGAGAGAGAGAGAGAGAGAGAGAGAGAGAGAGAGAGAGAGAGAGAGAGAGAGAGAGAGAGAGAGAGAACGTGAAAACACTGGGGATATAACGAGAGAGAGAGAGAGAGAGCGAGAGAGAGAGAGAATCCATCACATTGCCCCTTGCAAAACTGCATACCTCCACTCAATCCCTACGACCCGTCAAGCAATACGGTCAAGCCTGCACATGCCCACATCAATGCATACAAACATGACCAACTAAGCACATATTAATACACACAGACACGTTCACACACACACAAACACACACACACACACACACACACACACACACACACACACGCACTTTAACCTAATGTACAAGTGAAAGTAATTATGGTAAAGCTCATTCCACTTTTTATCTATAAATAACTCATGATATTATGATATTATGATTACTTATGATGATGAATTCATAAAGGGTGTCTTAATAACTTAACTCTCAGATAAAGGCCATGTGCTAAACAGCTTCTAAACACTCTCTTAAACCAGGTAACCTACGTACGCTTACACAAATTATTAACTTATAAATAATCCCTAAAGTTACCTATTACCAAGTGACTAGAAGTAGGTTTATAGCCTTAAAGTGCTATTGCTGATAGTGGGTACCTTTTACTGCTGTGGATTTCTAATAGGTTTATTTGAGGTCAGGGTTCATTAGACACCAAAGACACCACGTGGATTTCTCCAATAAGAAATTATATATATTTTTTTGTTTTCCCGTTGCATATAATGCTATAAAAAAATGTTTTGCATGCCCTAAAGAACACGACCCATGTTAGGTGTTAAAGGAGGCCAGAGGTCAGAGGTCAGAGAGAGGGCTCACCTTGAGATGGTACACATTTCCCTGTGCCCTCATGACCAGTTCACTGGCTGGAATGGACTGGCCGCAAGCACTGCATGCCCCACTGTTCCCAAATAACCTAGAAAACACATTAGAAATACAACCATTAACATCACACTCTCACCTGTACATTCACCTGTACATTCAAATCTGTATTACTCCATAGATGGACGGCCTTCATAAAGTGGGGGGCGGGAAGAAAGCAGTGTACAATTTTCCATATAAAATGCAATAATTTCATTTTGCACTGTAATCTGTTGGAGAGATGTAGATCTGATCAACATACAAATAGAGTATCATGTTGTAAAAATGTATTCAGATTCCTGCTATGTTTTCCTGTGAGTATTTATATTTATTCCCACTATGACAGTAACCAAAAACAAGATTTGCTTTAAATGACTTCCATCCTCATGGAAAAGGCAATGACGGCCACATACACCCAACAAAATTGATATTTTTTTTTATACGAGGGTAATAGAAAATCATAGCAATACTAGGAAACCAAATGAAACATCCTGCTAGTCTGCTTGCCTGCTCTCCAAAAAGCTTCTAGCGACTGAAACTACGTATTACCTTTCGCAGGGCATTTTTCTTGCTTGCTGATAATAACTAGGAACATAAGCAATCAGGGCCTAAGAGGATTTGATTGTACATCCAGGCGGAGACATAGTGCTTTTGCCATTAGGACTTGGGTAGAATGCTCTGTCAGTAGCCTTGTTTCCATTAGAAACCTGCAGCTACTGGGGTTGATATATAATGTGCATTGGTTAACCTTTTCAATCATGGTGTCAACACTTCAGATTTACTTCTGCTCATCTCTTTTGTCCCTAACCTACCTACCCCTCTCTCTCTCTCTCTCTCTCTCTCTCTCTCTCTCTCTCTCTCTCTCTCTCTCTCTCTCTCTCTCTCTCTCTCTCTCTCTCTCTCTCTCTCTCTCTCTCTCTCTCTCTCCTCTCTCTCTCTCTCTCTCTCTCTCTCTCTCTCTCTCTCTCTCTCTCTCTCTCTCTCTCTCTCTCTCAATCTCCCTCCCTCCCTCCCTCCCTCCCTCCCTCCCTCTCTTGATAATGAAATGCTTGCTCCAACTTCCCTTCTATCTGCCTTCTGAGTCCACAATTTAGATTACTTCATCTCGCCGAGCAACAAACTGAATGAAATTTCGATTTGAGCAGAAAGTAATTTACTGGGATCTGGCCCCATTTGTCATCATATCTCACCGGGTGTTTGCTCTATCACTGCACTTATGCAATCAAATAAGACCACAGCATCTGACATGCTCAGGAGAGAGAGAGGGGGAGAGAGGGGGAGAGAGGGAGGAGAGAGAGGGGGAGAGAGGGAGAGAGAGAGGGGGGAGAGAGGGAGGAGAGGGAGGGGGAGAGAGGGAGAGAGAGAGGGAGAGAGAGGGAGGAGAGAGAGGGGGAGAGAGGAGAGAGAGGGAGGAGAGAGAGGGGGGAGAGAGAGGGAGAGAGAGGGAGGAGAGAGAGGAGGAGAGAGAGGGGGAGAGAGGGAGAGAGAGGGAGAGAGAGGGGGAGAGAGGGGGAGAGAGGGAGGGCGGGAAGGAGAGAGAGGGGGAGAGAGGGAGGGAGGAGAGAGAGGGATAGAGAGAGGGGAGAGAGAGGGAGAGAGAGAGGGGGAGAGAGAGGGATAAAGAGAGTGGTTAAATCGCAGATGAGGAATATATTTGTGATAGTTTCTTTTAAACCATTTAACTCCTAAAATGATTCTAAAATTAAATGAGCTGAATGATGTTATTCATTAGGAATATTCTGAGCAATATTCTTGTAGGAGTCTGTACGTATTTTGCTCACAAACAAATGAATTAAAGAGTGGACAAATGACACAAAGTACTGTAGGAGATGTAGCCTGGTCACAAACCAGGTTCAGCTGTCCCCTCTCTGACTGACTGTTGTTGTTAAATGTATTGACATGGAGTGACAGAGACTTCATTGGAAAGGGAACCACTAAAACGGCTTTCAATAGGAAGCTGAAGAAACACATTTTGTCTTGGCATCGATTGAAAGGGCTCAATCAAAACTCCATTTCAAAAACGAATTAGCTGGAAGACTGTTGTGACAACACTGCTGCCATTTCAGGGCCTTAGCTGGGGTAGACATGGTGTGTGTGTGTGTGTGTGTGTGTGTGTGTGTGTGTGTGTGTGTGTGTGTGTGTGTGTGTGTGTAGGAAGAGGAGAGGGAGACAGATGTCTTTGTTTTAACACTACAGAGAAGCACCACAATGTTACCTCTTATATTATCTCCCCCCTGTTGAATTCCAGAAGGTAAGTAATTCGGTTTGTGTACAGACAAAAACAATAACTAAAAATGCGGATACTGTAAATCTTGCAGTCTATAGGGTGACATTTCACAAACAGGAACCGCTTGTTGTCAAAACATGCACAACACATCAAACTCAAGTTATAGAATATGGTCTAATTTGATTGGATATAAGAAAAGCGCAGTGATGGCGCAAACAACCTGTGAGATAGACACAGGAAATGAAAACAACACTTTGTTACCGTGTTGTTGTTTTTCCCTGTCATCGTTCACTTTGTGACTGACAGGCGCCTGTCCTATCATGAGGTCGTTAGAAGATGCATGTCGTTCATTCTAGCGGGAGAGGGATCGCCTGACTAGCGAATTGAAAAGTAGTCCAGTTAATTTAAGTGGGAAAAGTACCCTGCTGAAAATGACTCTGTAATCGTCTGTTTAGCCGACAGCCGGTGCCAGTGGAAAACACTGAGCTCTGTTTTGTGCTACAGTAACTTTTATAGGACTTTTAGATATATAGTCACAGTTTTCTATAGTCATTTTGATTTTTCATTTGTGTAGAAATATACCTGGTCCTTGACCAGAATCACAAAATCCAATCAAAATAAAATGTTATTCATATTCACATGCTTCTTAAACAACAGGTGTAGACTAACAGCGAAATGCTTACTCACGGCACTACCCAACATTGCATACTGCAGCAGAGCTCTTCTCAGTCAAAAGTTTGGACAAAACATACTCATTCAAGGGTTTTTCTTAATTTTTTGTACTATTTTCTACATTGTAGAATAATAGTGAAGACATCTAAACTATGAAATAACACATATGGAATCATGCAGCAACCAAAAAGGTGTTAAAGAAATCAAAATATATTTTATATTTGAGATTCTTCAAAGCAGCCACCCCGTTGCCTTGATGACAGCTTTGCACACTCTTGGCGTTCTCTCAACCAGCTTCCCACATATCTAAACTTTTGACTGAATCCAAATTCACAGAATCCTAAAAATCATTATTTTCATCTAACCACAAATTTCTCCAGACAGCGTTCATGTCTTTTAGGGGCTGTATTAAACAAAGATAATAAAGACTTTGGAATGAAGATTTTTCTCCCCCTTCCTCCTTTTCATTCCATCCTGCCATCCCTGGGCCTCTACACATATCAGGTTAATCACCAGGCAGGCATAACTGCTGATAGTATTTGATTTAGAGGGCTGCTCAATGAAGTTCCTATCAGTCTGGACTTGGACTCTAACGGTCTCTGCTTTCCATTGAGCTGCTGTATTGGGGTGGAGGGTGTAGACGGGATGAGGGGATGACGGGGAGGACAGGGGGAGGACAGGGGGAGGACAGGGGGGAGAGAAAGGGATGAGGAAGCCCCAGGTCAGTATAATTAAGGTCTGGGGACTCTTTAACGACATGACTGGTTTTCAGTTCCTTTTCCCCTCCAAATCAGAGGTTCAGAGATTCACAGGTTCAGAGGTTTCAATGGGTTCCTTTGTTGTTTTTCAAGCCATTTGCCTGAACAATCAATCATAGGACATTGGGAGGATGGTTTTGTCAACCAACATGGGGGGCTATGCAGTGATTTATTTGTGTTTCCCCTCCCCATTCCCCTCCCACACAGGGGATCTGAATAAGAGATACTACAAGCTACCGTATGTCTTTCATTAAAAGAGAATTTGGTGCTGTCTACTGTCTGTCTATAGGAGGCAATGACTACTGGGTTTCAAATCTGACTGAGTGTGCCAGGTGATTTGAAATATAGCATCACAGCTTGTTGTGTTGTTAGGCTGTCTGGCCTCGTTCCGTCGCTCGCTCGCTGAGGCTTTTTGAAGCGGGGGGGGGGGGGGGGGGGGGTGAAATAACCACAGAACAATGATTTCTGCGTCACAGTCCATTAAAAAAATGCCTCTCTACATCGGCAGCCAAAGCACCTTAAAAGCACTAAGGCCATATTGATACTTAAACAGGGCTTTACATAATGACAAGAGCTGTATTAGAGTGAGAGAGGTTGGGAGGAGGGGGGAGGAGAGGGGATGGTGAGAGGAGAGGGGGGAGGCAGGGGAGAGGAGGGACGTGGTGACGGGGGGGGGGGGGATCAGCCAATTACACTTGGATAATTTAGAGGAACAGATCTGGCCCCTGGTGAATTGAAGGCCTTGAATTAATTCTGTTATGACAAATCAAGATAAACGTTTTGCCTAAATTGCATGCGATTTAATTAATTTCTGAAATCGCGGTTCTTTCCCTTTCCCTAATACTTCACATGTTCCTGTTGCTGTCACAGTGCTGCAAACTTCAAAGTGATATTAAATAACCAACTATTACATTTACCTAGCAGCACATTCTATTAGAAAAGTGCGATTTAATTACCTTGTCTCTATTCAATTAAAAGGGACAGTGTTCATTTTACGTCCAAATCCACCCGACATGATTGCTACGCTAGATTCATTAATTATTTCTCTCTCTTCACTCAAACCAGCCAACACAAATAATACCACCTCTGACTTAAACACAACAGTAAGTAAAGCTAGTGAAAGCTGTATTGGTAGGTTGTTTTACACGGACAGAGACACACAGGGGCGTCCCAAATGGTACCCTATTCCCTATATACGGCACTACTTTTGACCAGAGCCCTATGGGAGAACGAAAGAGGGCTATGGACCCTGGTCAAAAGTAGTGTACTACATAGGGGTATTCAACTCTTTCCCTACGAGGTCCGGAGCCTGCTGCTTTTTCTGTTCTACCTGATAATTAATTGCACACACCTGGTGTCCCAGGTCTAAACCAGTCCCTGATTAGAGGGGAACAATGGGGGGGGGGGGGGGGGAACAGTGGAACTGGCTTTGAGGTCCAGAGTTAAGTTTGCGGGAACTAGGGTGTCATGGGCCCTGGTCAAAAGTAGTGCACTATATACAGTGGGGGAAAAAAGCATTTAGTCAGCCACCAATTGTGCAAGTTCTCCCACTTAAAAAGATGAGAGAGGCCTGTAATTTTCATCATAGGTACACGTCAACTATGACAGACAAAATGAGAAAAGAAAATCTAGAAAATCACATTGTAGGATTTTTTATGAATTTATTTGCAAATTATGGTGGAAAATAAGTATTTGGTCAATAACAAAAGTTTCTCAATACTTTGTTATATACCCTTTGTTGGCAATGACACTGGTCAAACGTTTTCTGTAAGTATTCACATGGTTTTCACACACTGTTGCTGGTATTTTGGCCAATTCCTCCATGCAGATCTCCTCTAGAGCAGTGATGTTTTGGGGCTGTCGCTGGGCAACACGGACTTTCAACTCCCTCCAAAGATTTTCTATGGGGTTGAGATCTGGAGACTGGCTAGGCCACTCCAGGACCGTGAAATGCTTCTTACGAAGCCACTCCTTCGTTGCCCGGGCGGTGTGTTTGGGATCATTGTCATGCTGAAAGACCCAGCCACGTTTCATCTTCAATGCCCTTGCTGATGGAAGGAGGTTTTCACTCAAAATCTCACGATACATGGCCCCATTCATTATTTCCTTTACACGGATCAGTCGTCCTGGTCCCTTTGCAGAAAAACAGCCCCAAAGCATGATGTTTCCACCCCCATGTTTCACAGTAGGTATGGTGTTCTTTGGATGCAACTCAGCATTCTTTGTCCTCCAAACACGACGAGTTTAGTTTTTCCCAAAAAGTTCTATTTTGGTTTCATCTGACCATATGACATTCTCCCAATCCTCTTCTGGATCATCCAAATGCACTCTAGCAAACTTCAGATGGGCCTGGACATGTACTGGCTTAAGCAGGGGGACACGTCTGGCACTGCAGGATTTGAGTCCCTGGCGGCGTAGTGTGTTACTGATGGTAGGCTTTGTTACTTTGGTCCCAGCTCTCTGCAGGTCATTCACTAGGTCCCCCCGTGTGGTTCTGGGATTTTTGCTCACCGTTCTTGTGATCATTTTGACCCCACAGGGTGAGATCTTGCGTGGAGCCCCAGATCGAGGGAGATTATCAGTGGTCTTGTATGTCTTCCATTTCCTAATAATTGCTCCCACAGTTGATTTCTTCAATCCAAGCTGCTTACCGATTGCAGATTCAGTCTTCCCAGCCTGGTGCAGGTCTACAATTTTGTTTCTGGTGTCCTTTGACAGCTCTTTGGTCTTGGCCATAGTGGAGTTTGGAGTGTGACTGTTTGAGGTTGTGGACAGGTGTCTTTTATACTGATAACAAGTTCAAACAGGTGCCATTAATACAGGTAACGAGTGGAGGACAGAGGAGCCTCTTAAAGTAGAAGTTACAGGTCTGTGAGAGCCAGAAATCTTGCTTGTTTGTAGGGAGACCAAATACTTATTTTCCACCATAATTTGCAAATAAATTCATAAAAAAACCTACAATGTGATTTTCTGGATTTTTCTTTCTCAATTTGTCTGTCATAGTTGACGTGTACCTATGATGAAAATTACAGGCCTCTCTCATCTTTTTAAGTGGGAGAACTTGCACAATTGGTGGCTGACTAAATACTTTTTTTCCCCACTGTAAGGGATAGGTTGCTATTTGCAATGCACCCTGACAGCCCTACAGAGTGACAGCGTTTGGCCCTATACACAGCGTTTGGCCCTATACACAGTGTTTGGCCCTATACACAGTGTTTGGCCCTATACACAGTGTTTGGCCCTATACACAGCGTTTGGCCCTATACACAGCGTTTGGCCCTATACACAGCGTTTGGCCCTATACACAGTGTTTGGCCCTATACACAGTGTTTGTGGTGTGTCTGTGTGATTGATGTTAGCTGGGTATCATCTCAGGTCAGGCACGTCTCCCATTAGAAGTAATGTGATGCATTTTCACTCATGAGTCTCGATCAATGTGGAGCAGTTTTCACATCAGCTTTATTAATAAAAGTAAGAGATATAACTCCATTATTTATACTGCAAGAGCAATTTAATAATCCATTACAAGATGAGACACAGAAAAACTGAAACCCAGAAAAAACTGGCCTTCAAAATAATCCCCCCTTCTCTCTCTCTTTCCTTCTCCTTCTCTCTATCTCCATCTCTCTCCATCTCTCTCCATCTCTCTCTCTCAAAAGCCAATTTGGTTAATTAAATTTTGTTAAATTGGGCATATCATTTGAAGTAGAGAGGGGAAATTATGAGTAAATGTAAAGCAGAGGAGAGGGGAGACAGATCATTTGAAGGATAGGAAAGAGGGGGAGAGGAGAGGACGTGAGGGGAGGGAGGAGAGGTAGGGAGAGGAGGGATAGAGAGGGAGTAGAGAGGTGGATGGAGAGGAGGGAGGGAAGGATGAGAGGAGTAGAGAGGGAGGGAGAGGAGAGGAGGGAGGGAGAGGAAGAGGAGAGGAGAGGAGAGGAGAGGGAGGAGAGGAGGGGAGAGGAGAGGGAGGAGAGGAGAGGGAGGGGGAGGAGAGGAGGAGGGAGAGGCGAGGAAGAGAGAGGAGAGGAGAGGGAGGAAGGAGGGGAGGGAGAGGAGGGAGAGGAGAGGAGGGAGAGGAGGGAGAGGAGAGTGGAGAGGAGAGGAGAGGAGGGGAAAGGGGAGTGAGAGGAGAGAGAGGAGGGAGGGAGAGGAGGGAGGGAGAGGAGGGAGAGGAGAGGAGAGGAGAGGGAGAGGAGAGGAGAGGAGAGGAGAGGAGAGGAGAGGAGAGGAGAGGAGAGGAGAGGAGAGAGAGAGGAGAGGAGAGGAGGAGGAGGGAGAGGGAGGGAGAGGAGAGAGGAGGAGAAGGGAGGGGAGAGGAGGGAGAGGAGAGGAGGGAGAGAGGGAGGAGAGAGGAGGGAGAGGAGAGGAGGGGAGGAGAGGGGGGAAAGTAGAGAGGAGAGGAGGAGGGAGAGGAGAGGAGGAGGGGAGAGAGAGGGAGAGGAGGGAGAGGAGAGGAGGGAGAGGAGGGGAGGGGAGATGAGGGAGGGAGTAGAGAGGAGGGGAGGGAGAGGGGGGAGGAGGGAGAGTAGAGAGGAGGGAGAGAGGGGGGGAGAGGGAAGTAGTAGAGGAGGGAGGGAGAGAGAGGAGGGATAGTAGAGAGGAGGGAGGAGAGGAGGGGTGGAGGGAGTAGAGAGGAGGGGTAGAGGAGGGGGAGAGGAGAGGGAGGGAGAGGAGGGAGTAGAGAGGAGGGGAGAGGGGAGAGGAGGGAGAGGAGAGGAGGAGTAGAGAGGAGGGGGGTAGAGAGGAGGGAGAGGAGGGCGATAGAGGAGGAGTATAGAGGAGGGAGTAGAGAGGAGGGAGAGGAGGGGTGGAGGGAGTAGTAGAGAGGAGGAGGGAGAGGAGAGGAGGGAGTAGAGAGGAGGGAGTAGAGAGGAGGGGAGGGAGAGGAGGGAGTAGAGAGGAGGGAGAAGAGAGGGAAGGGAGAGGAGGGCGTATATAGAGGGGGGGGGTATAGAGGAGGGAGTATAGAGAGGAGTAAGAGGAGGAGGGAGAGGAGGGGTGGAGGGAGTAGAGAGGAGGGAGAGGAGAGGAGGGAGTAGAGAGGAGGGAGTAGAGAGGAGGGAGAGGAGAGGAGGGAGAGGAGAGGAGGGAGTAGAGAAGAGGGAGTAGAGAGGAGGGAGAGGAGGGCGTATAGAGGAGGGAGTATAGAGGAGGGAGTAGAGAGGAGGGAGAGGAGGGGAGCCTGAGAGCAGATCTCATTAGATAAAACCCATCAGGACTAAAGCTAAATGGAGGGGGACTCTAATTAAATACTTTAATTGTGTGGACTTACTGTCAGATGTTTTTTTCTAACCTGCTTTCCTTTCCTTATCTCTCCTCAGATCACAGGCTAGTCTAGTGCAGAGAGAGGCAGGGGCTCTGTCCCCAATGGCACCCTATTCCCTATATAGGGCCCTGGTCAAAAGTAGTGATAGTGCACTATAAAGGGAATAGGGTGCTGTTTGGGACGCAGACTGTTTTTTAGGTCCTCTCACTCCCCTCTACCACCTAGCTCTCATTACATTACAAGTGGTAAGGTGTATCCTCTTCTCCCTCCCTCCCTCCCTCCCTCCCTCACTCCCTCCCTCCCTCCCTCCCTCACTCCCTCTCTATTTGAATTAGGTTGTAGTGCCATTATGAATGGAGTGACCCATTGACTTGATCCTTGTTGATGAGGAGAGGAGACACACAGAACCTCATCATCCCTGGAGGTCTTCTTATGGTGTATAGTACAGTGTATTATAGTAGTGTATTATAGTACGGTGTATTATAGTATGGTGTATTATAGTATGGTGTATTATAGTAGTGTATTATAGTAGTGTATTATAGTAGTGTATTTTATTATAGTAGTGTATTATAGTAGTGTATTATAGTATGGTGTATAGTACGGTGTATTATAGTATGGTGTATTATAGTAGTGTATTATAGTAGTGTATTATAGTAGTGTATTATAGTAGTGTATTATAGTATTATAGTATGGTGTATAGTACGGTGTATTATAGTAGTGTATTATAGTATGGTGTATTATAGTAGTGTATTATAGTAGTGTATTATAGTAGTGTATTATAGTATGGTGTATAGTACGGTGTATTATAGTATGGTGTGTGTAGTATGGTGTATTATAGTATAGTGTATAGTACAGTGTATAATTGTACAGTGTATAATATGGTGTATTATAGTATGGTGTATTATAGTACGGTTTATAGTACAGTGTATTATAATATGGTGTATTATAGAACAGTGTATTATAGTATAGTGTATAGTACAGTATATTATAGTATGGTGTATAGTATGGTGTAGTATAGTATAGTGTATAGTACAGTGTATACAGTACAGTGTATAGTATAGTGTATTATTGCATAGTACAGTGTATTATAGTACAATGTATTATAGTACAGAGTATAGTATGGTGTATTATAATATAGTGTATAATACAGTGTAGTATAGTACAGTGTATAGTATAGTTTATTATAGTATGGTGTATAGTACAGTGAATTATAGTACAGTGTATAGTATGGTGTAAAGTACAGTTTATAGTACGGTGTATAGTATGGGGTAAAGTACAGTTTATAGAACGGTGTATAGTATGGTGTAAAGTACCGTTTATAGTACGGTGTATAGTGTGTAAAGTACAGTTTATAGTACGGTGTATAGTATGGTGTAAAGTACCGTTTATAGTACGGTGTATAGTGTGTAAAGTACAGTTTATAGTATGGTGTATAGTGTGTAAAGTACAGTTTATAGTACGGTGTATAGTGTGTAAAGTACAGTTTATAGTACGGTGTATAGTGTGTAAAGTACCGTTTATAGTACGGTGTATAGTATGGTGTAAAGTACTGTTTGTAGTACGGTGTATAGTGTGTAAAGTACAGTTTGTAGTACGGTGTATAGTATGGTGTAAAGTACAGTTTGTAGTACGGTGTATAGTGTGTAAAGTACAGTTTATAGTACGGTGTATAGTGTGTAAAGTACAGTTTATAGTACAGTGTATAGTATGGTGTATAGTACAGTGTAATATAGTACAGTGTATAGTATGGTGTAAAGTACAGTTTATAGTACAGTGTATAGTGTGTAAAGTACAGTTTATAGTACGATGTATAGTGTGTAAAGTACAGTTTGTAGTACGGTGTATAGTATGGTGTAAAGTACAGTTTGTAGTATGGTGTATAGTGTGTAAAGTACAGTTTATAGTACGGTGTATAGTGTGTAAAGTACAGTTTATAGTACAGTGTATAGTACGGTGTAAAGTACAGTTTATAGTACGGTGTAAAGTACGGTGTAAAGTACAGTTTATAGTACGGTGTAAAGTACAGTTTATAGTACAGTGTAAAGTACAGTTTATAGTACGGTGTAAAGTACAGTTTATAGTATGGTGTAAAGTACAGTTTATAGTACGGTGTAAAGTGTGTAAAGTGTTTGTATCTACCTGCCTGTGTTGATACGTAGCAGCAGCAGTAACTAAGTATTAACTCAATTACTAGTAGTACAGTGTGTTTAGAGCATTCAAATTATAGGCATAGTTGATCATAGTAAAACAAAATATTTGCAGATTTAACCGTCCCTTTCTGTAAGACAAAAAATATCAGAAAATACGAAATCCTCTTATTACGATAAATATTTATAAAAAATCACTTATGTTTACTGTTTGGCAATAGTCTGTAATAAAAACAAAATTAAAGTGGTGTGACACAATCTAAAGCTAAAAGTATTGCTGAGAAAAATCTACTTAATCAACACTGTTATTATATTGTGGTCTATTATGAAAAGTGTCCTCCTGAACCTTGCATTACACTGCGTCTCTAAACCCACTGAGTGGTTTGGCTCGTCTTCACAAGGTCAAATTGTTGAACGATCAGGCTGTCAAATCAGGCGATTCCGCATTAGCAGAATGAGACTGCCTGCCGTCATCAAGCGCTAGCTGGTTAAGTGTCCCACACACTTTATATAAATATTTAAAAAAAGACCCTCTTTGTTAATTAAATGATCTCTTTCTGATACACAAACTTGCCAAACAGGATGAGAAACGCTTTTAAATTCCCAGAGTGGTAAAAGTCACCTATGCCTGTCCCGTACAGCCTCTCCTAGCATCTCGTAAAGCGAATACAAACCCTGGGGAACACAGCCCTGAGCCCGGCTCCCACCTTCTGCTGCTGGATGAAAAATAGCACGATGAACAAACAGACATTCTAGACGTTCTATTAGAAAAATACTGTTGGTTCGTCTTGTTCTCTGTCAACATGCCAGCAGACAGTTGGACCTCTTTTTAAGAATAGTCTGGAGAGAATTCAACGAGGAGAGACTTTAACGAGGCCCGATGTTGGGTGAATTTGAGACACGTAGTCTCAATATTTCTGAATGGAAAAGACATCCCATGCTTCCATACATACATTGTTATATAGCCTGTAGCATATTTATCCTACTCCTTCATTTCTTATCCATGACTTAATACATTTTAAATCTTGATAGAATAAAACATAAGTTTCACTATTTTTTCGAACTAGCATCAAGCTGCTCTCCGTTCTGGTCCATTGTCCCAGAAACCAGGGCGTCCCCTTTATTTTCGTGACAGTAACATCCTTCTTTTGTCAGGAAATTCATGTGGGACAGAGATCCATGGATACAAGTTGTCATTCCAGAATAGAAAATAACATACAGTATGTTACGGTATCTGTACACTTTCTTGAGGGCAAATCTGTACTGCACAATGCACACACACACACACAGACAAACACACACACACACAGACAGAAACACACACACACACAGACAGAAATACACAAACAGACAAACACACACACACATTACCTGTTTGCACCCTCGCTGTAGGGTGATCTGCACAATGCACACACGCACACACACAAAAAAAAAACACACACTCACAGCCACCTGCACCCGCGCCCTCAACCGACGTTAACACACTCACAGCCGCCCCGCCGACCCTAATCCGCCAGTCTCACCTGATGTAGTCATTTCTGCAGAGGATCATGCCGCTCTTGGTGTAACAGGAGGTGCCGATCTCCCCCAGCTGGGCCTGGCAGCAGGAGCACTTCAGGCATCGGCTGTGCCAGTAGCTGTCCATGGTGTAGAGGAGGAAGCGGTCAGAGATCTTCCCCCCGCAGCCAGCACACCTCTTCCAGGACAGGGACCCTGCTCCCACCGGAGGGGGCTGGTTGCTACCTCCAGGATTCACCATGGTCCCTGGTTAAGAAATAACAAGAGACACAAACATGTTGATATTAGTATTGATTTTGAAGCATTGTTCCTGGTTATGAAGAAAAAACACCAGAGATGAAAAAAGTTGTTATGAGACTGGTGGGGACTGACAGGTGGTGCCACCTGAAACACATCAAGACAAGGAAAAGGTCGCTGACCGAAACAACAAAACGATAAACATTCAGAGGTTTTAGATCATATCTTGTGTTGTGTGCAGGAATTAACTTTTCTACAACCTGTAAGACACCACTCAGAAGTTTCAGATGGTGTTTTCAGGGACCGTTAACTAAAGTATTGTTGTCTGACACTGTGCACATTGCAGTTTATGGCAACTATTATTGAAACATTGCGGTTTATGGCAGCTCATATTGAAACATTGCGGTTTATGGCAGCTCATATTGAAACAATGCGGTTTATGGCAGCTCATATTGAAACTACAAGTATTCTCACACGAACATGAAGCTGAGTCACTCATTTTACATTTCAACCATAATTGTGCTGATCTATGAGATAAGACTTACATTTATTTTAAATATACTTCTAGCAAACGTCTTATAGTGGCCAATTTGATGTGCCAAAGAATTTACAAAGCAGTCACTATTTCATTTTTGTCCAAAGCAGCATTTTGGCAGCCAAGCTACAAAATAGACCTATACATGAAAAGTTGAACCAACTGAATTTGCAATTAGCCTACATTTGAATTCCTGGTCAACAGAGAGGCCAGTGTTGTAACAAGGTAATTAAAGTAGTGTTAAATTACACCGTTTTCTCAGTCACGTGATCAGCCACATGTAAACCACACCTCATCATCACCAACCAGGCAACCAGGCAGGCTGAGAGAGCCCTCCTCTGAGATAAACAGTGTCTGTAGTGTCTGTAGATTGTCGGTCGTCTGTGAAAGCTCTAGTCTGGGTCAGATAGCATCTGTAATGTTGTCTGTAGTCTGTAAAAGCTTAATGTTGAGTGTCTGTCTGTAGGTTGTCTGTAGTCCAGACAACTGACTGACCACATAGAGCTGTGCCTGCAGTGTGGTTTTCCAGAGAAACTGTCATTGTGTAAAGCTTCCCAATGTGGCGTCCATACGTTTTTAGCCTGTTATAGCGAGTTGAAGTGTTTGCAAAGCTGTAAAAGGTACTGCAGACTGTAATAACTGTATTCATAAACAACAGTAGACCTCTTCCCTCCCTGCATCCGTGGTTAAACCTGTTCTAGTGTATAGAGGAGAGGGGCTACAAGTCATTCACTGTACTAATCTGCACTTGATCTTTCTGACTCTCTATCTCTCCTCTCATCTAAATGCTGTTTCCTCAATCATCCTGTGGTTGCTGTGTGACGTGAAGAATGTGTGTTCACTGATAACACCAAGGGCCAGCAGAACAGCTAGAGAGGAGCTGTATGAGGCTCCCTTTTGTTAGGCTCTCAATAGGTTTAGAACAGCACATTACTCTACCACGCTGTTTCTTCACACCTGTCAATGTTCTCTTTCTATGGGGGGGGTAAAAAAAAGGTGTTCTGCCTCGGCTTGTTACAGAGAGGGAAGACTGGGGTGAACACAGGAGTGCTAATAATTGAAAAGCCATAAAAGTTGCATGAGGGTTGCCTAACTCTGTCAGCAGGGACGGACCCTATCAATGTCTAGCATGTGTTGCCTTTACAGAGAGAATCTACTGATATCACAGGCTATTATGGATGAATGCATCAATGTTCTGAGTGCACTACACAGACTATTAATATCACGCTAGCCTGTGCGATCATCTATTTGTGCAACGCAACGCTTTTTTTTGTTCAAAGCTGATCTGAAACTAATATATTTTAATTCTAATCCTTTCCCAATTTTCAGCACGGCAGGCAGACTTCATGGCTAGCTGAGACAAATCTTTGTTGAAAGGTAATTAGAGGAGAGGGGAGGGGGAGAAAACGCTGCACTGAGAAAAGCATTCACTAACCCCATTAGCAGAGGCTCTTAGGGACAAGCTATACCTTAGTGCTGATTAAATCTAAAAGGAGATGAATCAAAAAGCTGGCCTGAAAGTGACTCCCTGGATAAATAAGATGGGCCATGTCAAGTTTCATTCCGGGTTGGGGGAAGAGAGGACATTTGAGGGGGTAAAGCTTTTAACTTAAATGGGCTAACTCAAGTAATTACACGGACAGGCAATTTAGAAGGCAGTGAGATGGAGTCGGAGAGAAATACAAAACAGATCAGGCAACCCCAGAGCCGCTGCAGCCCAGGGCTAAACAGCCCCCAATCCCGTTCTGGCAATCTGATGGCTGCGTTTTAATGGAAAGTAACAAGTAAATGGAGTACACTACAGCAGACTACAGTAGAACACCGACAATAATGCGTTATATGTATTGCCTGCGCCCGTGTCGAGGCAATTAAAGCGTGGAAAAATAGTACGTAAAGAACATGCATGGGTTACTTTTACGCATTCCCTTATTTGAACGCAGCCTCTCTATGCGATGTTTACATATCACAAGAAAACATTGACAGTAGGTTATAGACATGAGGTTATTATTATTGATAATTACTTGAATATTAACATTATATAAAATCACACGCAAAGGCGCACAATAAAAGTATAGTATTCTCTTTTTAGTGGAACCTTTCACACCCAATTGGAAATATACCTTCATTATTGTCACGTATAACAGACATGGTAATAAATCACATTAAAGTGTCATGATGCGACACATTCACACCCATAATAACAATAATAAAACACCCACCTCGTTTGTCCCTTTTGAGAGTAATGATTGAATCTGTCCGTCACGTAGGTTTCTTAAAAATGGTACAGCAACTAGGCTTGCATGGACTACTTTGGACCAAAAAGAAATATTTTACAAACAGTCCAGAAAAATAGGCTATTGCGTAAATTACAGTGACCAGTCTATGAATCAAACGACAAAAAGGTGAGACTTCTCCAGCGGTCCCTGAGATCGCGATTCGCGTCCTCAGAAATAGGCTGCTGTGACTATGACTGTGACTGCTGGCAATTGTAAAACGAACGAAGCAAGGCTAATGGAGTTTTCAGATAGTATTTCCACTGGTGCCGTCCCGTTTCTGTAATCAGATGCCAGTCCAACGCTGGATGATCTGCTCTAGCATGCAATGATGAACACAGAAGACCTGGCTGGCACTAAGTTTGTAATAATGCACGCAAAAAAAATTCAATACGCGACTACCGTCCTCTCTATCTCTCTCTCTCTCTCTCTTCTGCTGAACGCTACCTTGTCCCTAATGGTCGCCTGCTCTACATGTGACAGTGACAGAACGAAAATCCCAAGTAAACCTCCTCTAGTTGGATGACGTAAGCCTCTCCGCAGCCAATCTCCACGCGGTCCATTCAAGCGGAATAACAAATCCACCCAATCAGAAGAACGTAGTTGACTCGGACACTCCAAGTAAAGGAAGAAAAATGCAGCTGAATGAGAGATACTCGAGGGGGATGCGTCTTGTGGGATACACCGCCGGTCGAAGGAGAGAAACTCATCTTTGCATTGAAAACGGTTACGGTACTCCTGTCCCTAATGGAGCCGTAAAGAGATTCACAGTGTGTCCCTGTGTATGGGACATTGTGTTTAGGAAATTAAAAACCTCCAAAAAATAGTTTAAAAAAAACAGCAATATCTCACTACGCAAAGTCATTACGCACAAATTACGAACAAATATCTGATTCCACACAAAAACATTACCACAACATTCTCGTCTGTTTGGTAGTACTTTAAAATAAGTTGCTCTTATACATGTGTAGTACAGTAATTACACTAGGAACACCAGCGTGTTAGTATGGGGTTACATAGTGCTTTATTAAGGGCGTTTAATTTAATTATTAAAGAGTATAACTTCAATGCCTTATTTAGTTTTGTGTCGATTTCATGGACTGTCAGTAGGTCTAACCATTTGACATCTTTACAAAAAAAGTGTCCGAGTCGGGCCGTTAAAACTACAGATTGTGCCTGCCTCTTTATGTCACGAAAAAAAGTTTAATTCCCATAGTTTATGTTTTGTACACTTTTGTAACAGGGAGAACAGCGCCATCGTCTGTCAATGAAAGTAACTGCACTCCTTACAATTGACAGAATACTTAATGACGATGTTTCTGTTGATATTAATACTGATATTACCAGGTGGCTTTTCTTTTTCTAGTAACAAATATGTTGTATGGTGTAAACCAGAGTGTTATTTCATTATTATTTATTTATAGCACATTGGTGTACCTGCAGTGTCCTTCTGTTACCTATACTGAGTGGACAAAACATTAGGAACAGCTTCCTACTATTGAGTTGCAACCCCCCCTTTTGCCCTCAGAATAGCCTCCATTCATCGGGGCATGGACTCTACAAGGTGTCGAAAGTGTTCCACAGGGATGCTGGCCCATGTTGACTCCAATATTTCCCCCCAGTTGTGTCAAATTGGCTGGATGTCCTTTGGGTGGTGGACCATTCTTGATACACATGGGAAACTGTTGAGCGTGAAAAACCCAGCAACGTTGCAGTTCTTGACACAAACCGGTGCGCCTGGCACATACTACCATACCCCGGTCAAAGGTAATTAAATATTTTGTCTTGCCCATTCACCCTCTGAGTCGCACACATAAACAATCCATGTCTCAATTGTCTCAAGACTTAAAAATCCTTCTTTAACCTGTTTCCTCCCCTTCATCTACAATGATTGAAGTGGATTTAACAAGTGACATCAATAAGGGATGATACATTTCACTATAAGGTCTCAAGGATGATCAATGGAAACAGGATGCACCTGAGTTCAATTTCGAGTCTAATAGCAAAGGGTCTGAATACTTATGTAAATAAGGTATTTCTGGTTTTTATGTTTAATAAATTAGCACACATTTATTAAAACCTGTTTTCACTTTGTCATTATGGGGTATTATGTGTAGGTTGATGATTACATGTTTGTTTGTTTTTAAATCCATTGTGGAAAAAGTCAAGGGGTCTGAATACTTTCGTAAAGTCTTT